GTAGGGAACAATAAAAAAATTTCAGCTCTGTTTTTTTTTTTGTTTGTTTGTTTTTAAATTGGAAGTACTTGAAGGTGAGGGTCCTTAGCATGTTGTAATGGCAGAGCTATTACTAGCTGTATGTCCTTGGACAAGAGAATCAACTCTCAAACCCCTTTTGCAGTTTCCAAAGAAATACTTTGAGGATTAATTGATAAAATGTATATAAACCAGTGATACTCCATAGGTGGTCAGCATATGTTAATTCTTCTCTATCAAAAATAACATGTACTCTGAGAGCATCAGAACACCAAGGCATGTGCATTTGTGCTCACCTAGGTTCCTTCTCACCATGCTTAAGATTTAGCTCTGTAATAATAATTGCCATTTTATTGAGTTCTGATGTATAGCAAAATGTGCTAGACACCCCCCCTTTCTTTGGTGGTTCTAAAAAAATAGTAGATGGTGTCATGGATTGAATTGTGTCCCCTAAAAATATCTGTCAACTTGGCTGGGTCATGATTCTCAGTATTGTATAATTGTGTACCATTTTGTAATCTGATGTGATTTCCTTATGTGTTGTAAACTCTATTACTATGATCTAGTAAGATGGATTAGAGGCAGTTATACTGATGAGGTATACAAGATTGGGTAGTGTCTTAAGCCAATCTCTTTTGAGATATAAAAGAGAGAAGCAAGCAGAGATACATGGGAACTTCATACCATCAAGAAAGCAGTACCGGGAGCAGAGCCTGAGGCTCCTGCACAGAGAAGCTCCCAGACCAAGGGGAGATTGATGACACGGACCTTCCTCCAGAACCGACGGAAAATTGTTTCCCTGGAGCTGACACCCTGAATTTGTACTTGTAGCCTACTGGACTGTGAGAGAAGAAATTTCTCTTTGTTAAAGCCATCCACTTGTCATAGCAGCACTAGATGACCAAGAGAGATGGTTACCAAACCAAAACCATTTCCTGATTCATTCAGTACATATATCAAATATTTGCTATTTCCAGGCACAAAGCTAAGAATATTAGAGTGAAGAAAATAAATAGGGACTTCGTTATCATGGAGCTGAACATATATTAGGGGTTTGGAGATACTGCTAAATGCCTACCTAATTTGCATTCTGTCCATAGTTCATTGCTTATAGAAGCTTGATTTTGTTAAAATGGGGAATGTACCTAGATTTTGTGCTAGCTAGTGACTCAGCTCCTCTCAGTGATATGTAAGTGGCAGTCTACTAATTGAGATTTCCTGAAAAGTTCTTGTTTTCCAGAATTAAAGGAACAGTATCAGTTATTCTAAGCCTTTTGCCCTTCACTCTTTTTTTTTGACCTGGAATGTGATGCTTGGAGGTGCAATGGCCAGATTAGACAACACTCTAAAAAAGGAGGAGTATAAATTTGGAATGGCTGCATAAAGCCTGGACACTTTTCCCTTAGACTTTTTATTATATGAGAAAATCAAATCTTTTCCTTCAAAGCTACTATTTGTCAGGTTACTTAGGTATGTCACAGAATGTCAACTGGAATTTTTCTTTTGGTCCAAAAATTATAGCTGAGTCCCTGTCATAGATGAAAACACAAGTTATGAAATGCACCACATTATAAGTTCAGAGAACCCCCACAGTAACCTCATCACAAGGCTTAATGAGAAGAGCTAGTTAGAGAAATAGGCCAATCAGTAAGTCCCAGACACCCAGTTAATGTAAGGGTAAGGTTGGGAGAGAGAGAGGTCAGCATTTTGGGGAGATGTATTATTTAGGCAATGAGCCTAGCCGCCATCATTCTCCCCCAGGCAGATACCTTTGTTCCCAAAGCCAAGGCGATCCAGTTGCAAAAAATCACCTGTAAAGCTTGAAGGTGTCAAAAACATCTTTACGTCAATTATATTAGGGACTGGTGATTGTCTCTCCTTTAGAGACCAATGACTGTCTAGCACCTGCTACTACTGGGGATTGTAGAAAGAGTCAGCAGAGACATGGCTGAGCTGAGAGAGGAAGCACCAGTGGTGTGGTCTGCATTTCTTCTGTGTAGTATGGCACAGGTACATGAGTTTCACGTGGGTCAAATGAACACTAGAGAAAGTGGGTGAGCTGGAGCAGGAAGAGGGTATGGGTGAGAGTTGGCAGTAGAGGAGGCTGACCCAGAACTAGATCCCCCATGGTAGGGAAATATGCAGTGGGGAAGACCCTAAAAGGCCCAGCAATACCCATACTTGTGCCCCATAAAAGAATCAGCATTTCAGTATTACCATATCAGAGGACTCTGATATGCCGTGTTAGCTTGAGAAACATCTAAACAAACAGAAAGGAAACCTCCCCCTCCCCATGGGCAAGCGCAGAAGAATCCCTGTCTCTCCTCTCTTTCCTCCATGGCACAGAAGTTGAGCAAGAAGAAGAAGAAAGGATAGGACACGTGTGAACACCAGACAATAGTCCGCCTCCATCACAAGCTTCTAGAGGTACAGACAGTTCTAGACTACAGGGAGGAAGAGTGGGACAGTGGGGGTGGAAGAAAATAATGTAAACTCAGAGAACAGACTGAAGTTTTAAATGAATAAATACATTCACAAGAATGTGAATGAGGCAAAAATTAAGGAAAACTCACACAATTAGGCTATGATGCTATTAAAGAATCAAGCAAGGGAGACGAAACATAAGAGCAGTTGGTGGGAAAAGGTGGGGGACAGATAGTGGGGAAAAAATTAAATCAGTTCATGTTTCTTGAACCTCAGAAACTAAATGGACCTCCCTGATAAAAAAAAAAAAAATGCATTAAATGACCACATTAATAGTTAAACATTTTCCAAAGGTCTTTGGTTTTTGAGGGAAATGTAAAGGACATGATGACAGTTTACAATTGAAGGATCTAGTTTGAAGGGGGGCGTTCCTCTGGATGATGGCAGTAGTAAGTAACAGGCATTTGAGCTGAACTCTGAGTGAGGAGAGGGAGTTGGTAGATGTTTTGAGTTTACTAGTGTCCCCACAAAGATATGTTGAAGTCCTAACCCCTGGTACCTTTGAATGTATCTTTGTTAGGAAGTATCATCTTTACAGATGTAATTAAGTTAAGATGAAGTCATAGTATGGGTCCTAATCTCATATGACTAGTGTTCTTAGAAGAGGGAAAGGGTCACAGAAAGAGACACACAGAGAGGAGAACATCATGTGAAGACACAGAGACAGAGAGGGAAGACAGCCATGTGAAGATGGCGCAGAGGTTGAAGTTATGCTGCCACAAGCCAAGGAATGCCTGGGGCCACCAGAAGCTGGAAGAGACAAGGAAGGATCCTCCCCTAGAGGCTTTGGAGGAAGCATGGCCCTGTCGAGACCTTAATTTCAGACTTCTAGTCTCCAGAAAGGAGCCCTGGTGGTGCAATGATTAAGCACTCGGCTGCTAGCCTAAAGGTTGGTGGTTCAAACCCACCAGCTCCTCCACAAAAGATGGATCAGTCTGCTTCAATAAAGATTACAGCCTTGGAAACCCTATGGGGCAGTTCTGCTCTATCCTATAGGGTTGTCATGAGTCAGAATTGACTTATTGGCAACAGGGTTAGCCTCCAGAACGGTGAGACAATAAATTTATGTTGTTTTAAGGAACCCAGGTTGTGGTACTTGGTTATGGCAATGCTGGAAACTATTACAGTGGGGAACAGTAAGTCAGGCAGAGGGAGGATCATGTGGTCTACAGCTGTGAAGTCCTGAGACCGGGAAGAACATGCTGGTCCTGTTGGAGCAACTAAACAGGCCTGTGTGGTCTGAGCAGAGAGTGAGGCAGGCGGAAAACACAGCACTAAGAGTCAGTGGAGTAGGAGGGAGCTATACAACTTGACTTGTGCCCCAGCAGAAACCAGAAGCTTGGGTTAGGCATGACAAAGCACAAAGTGCCCTTCCCTTCCCTTTCACTGCCAGATGCAGAGATAGCTACACACCATTCAGTTGACTCAGCTTACACTTTGTTGTATATTTTTGGAGTGCTCCCTCAGCAGGGTGAGGAGGTGACTATTGGCCAAGGAGGAAATGAATGAGACTCAGTACAGTACTCTGTTCACTTACTGGAAGATTCCTTTCAATTGCCTGTAGGATTTCAGGGAATTTCAAATGGGCCTTTCAGCTGGCTTAGCCCCAAGGCCTCTTTCGTTCAACTTATTTCTGGACGTTTTCCTCCCTCTTAAATGCACATATCCCCAGGGACTCAGTCTGCTGGGCTTTCTGTTTGAGAGCTGCCACCATTTACTCTGGAGTCCCTGGGTGATGCCAACAGCTAATGTGCTCATCCACTAATCAGAAGGTTGGAAGTTCGAGTTCACCCAGAGGCAACTCACAAAAAAGGCCTGGTGATCTACTTCCAAAAAATCAGCCACCGAAAACCCTCTGGAGCACAGTTTTACTCTGACACAAATGGGGGCGCCATGAGTTGGAGTTGACACCATAGCAACTGGTGGTAACTACCTGCTCTACCTCGTCTAAGCAGAAAGCACCTCTTACCCTCCTGCTCTTCCAGTATCTGAAGGCTGGGGACACAGTGGTTCACATGCAGCAGGAAAACATCAGTAGGATTTCCCAAAACTGGACTGAGCATTTGCATTAGTCTCTTTTTTGACCTGCAGCATAGTATTCAAGCTGCAGGAAGGAGAAAACATCCCAATTGTACTGCTGCTTCTCTGCCCACTTCCTGATGCAGGGGAGCTCACATCTGCAATTTCCCCAGCCTCCTGTTGGTCCAGTCCAAGAATGCTGGCTCCGAATCACATTTCAGCTATCTGCAGGGCAAGTCTAGGCCCATGGCTAGCCAGCTGGACTAAATAGTATCAATTCATTTGAGGATGATTTTCAGGAGACGAGGAATGAATTCCATGCAATTCAGCAAATATGTGACAGCTTCTCCTTGGGTAGTCATACCCTGTTAATTTAACTCAATTTCATTTGTCAGCTACCAGGCAGGAGGCCAGAGAAAATCCATACAATTAACTTAGAAGTGATTTAAGCATCTTTTGAAAACATAAGAAATACTCACCCCAACCTCAGGTGGGGGATCCTTATGCTCAGGTAGGACACTGGTTCGGACCTATGGGAAAAAGAAAACATTTTCTGTATGACTTTGCAGTAGAAGTCAGTGCAGAAGCTTCATGGAGGTGCTGGGTTTCAATTTTCTTCAGCTGGCGTCTATTCAGACTCGGGGGTTAATCATTAATGAGGCTACCTGCGTGAAACATCTGCTGCAGTCCAGTGACACTGTCCTTTTATGGTTCCTAAACCTCCTGATTTTCCTAAGGAGACAGAGCTGCATGGATACCCACCCCCCACCCCCACCCCCATCACCTCCTTGTCAGATACAAAGATATTCCGGCTTTAGGTGAATCACCTTTTAACCTCCTTAAAAAGCAACCTTCATTCAACATTCAACAAAAAGGATGGGTGTTAGTGTAGAGGAAGTACCTCTATGCATGCTCAATAAATACTGATTCTCTGAATACAAATCTAAACCCATATTCCTTATAGGATATCACTCCCATTTGAGAATTCTGGGATCAAGTTGTCTAAGTTGTCAATTAATCTGAATTTATTTGGAAAGTAATTCTCAATTAGGGGAGGGAGAAGAGTGTCAATCAGACATCTGGGGAAGCTTTTCATCTGCTTGAAAAGTGTTTCCAGTGAAATATCCACTCCTTAGATAATAAGTAGGCATATATCATCTACTGAGCAGTGGTTCTCAATCCTGGCTATGCATTAGAATCACCTGGCAACCTTTGCAAATTATTGGTGCTCCTTCCCAGATTGTCTAATTCTAACAGATAACTAGTGCATCTATGGTTCTCTGTTTAAGAAAACATGTTTCAAATGAAAAGAAATGGCAATCCTCTTTCTCCCTTCAGAAACAGTAAAAGCTAGGAAAAAAAATCAAACCTAAATCTAGTGTATCTTAATTGGAAGTAAGGATGAGAAAAATAAGTAAAATAAGTACTATGCAACATACAAGCAAACTTTGTTTAATTGGGGAACAAGGAACTAGGAGGAGGGATGAGAGAGTGGCAGCCCAGGAGCACTTCATGAATCAACATTCTAAGGCGTTCTTTTAACAAAATCCTTTGGATTTGCTGCACCGGCTATCATACTTTGCTTCAAATCCCTGAAGTTCTGAGATACCTGACTATCCAGGTCAATTCTCCCAGGCTGATGGGATGATCATAGCCCCCGTAATACCCCCGTAATACCTGAATCAGCTCCTAATGGCCTGCTGATCTTTAATACCCATTTCTATTTCCTTGAAAAAAGCCTCAAGCTATGGTAAAACATGCATTATAACTTCCAGCTTAACACTCTTTCTTTGTGACATATCCAGCACTGTCACTTGCACAATTTGTCAGTCATTATGACTGAAAAGTGTTCACCAGAGCACAAAGTAAATGGCAGGAGAGATCCCAACAAACAAGACTATTTGCAGACCAGATTCAACTCAGGAGTGCTCCTTGGCTCAGATCATTTGCAATTGGTAGCTGCATTAAGGTTCATTGGCCCGGAATATTCAAATGGACCATTCAGTCCCATTATCTGAAAGTTGTCAGCTAGCTTCAAAGCAAGAGCAAACTATAGATTAATAGTGGACTGAAGCAGAATATATACATATATATGCATATGTATATATATATTCACCCACATATACTACACATACACATATTTGTATGTGAATGTACATTATTTAAGAAGATATTTGACAGTCAAATAATATTACCCTTAGGGATATGCTTGAATTTAGAAATAAAGTGGAAGTCAGAAATTGGTGAGGGTCAACATATAAAGAACTATACAAAGTATTTGATTTGGATCTTTTATGTTAAAAAATATATGATTTAATATTGAAAAAGTAGAATGATACTGGCAATTCCTACAACGTTGCTTGTTGTTTTTAGGTGTCATCAAGTTGGCTCCGACTCATAGCAATCTTATGTATAAGTCTGTACCAAACCCATTGCCATCGAGTCGATTCTGAATCATAGAGACCCTGAAGGACAGAGTAGGACTGCTCCATAGGGTTTCCAAGGAGTGGCTGGTGGATTTGAACTGCTGACTTTGTGGTTGGCAGCCAAGATCTTAACCACTGTGCCACCAGGGCCTCACCTCATGTATAACAAAACAAAATGCCCAGCCCTGCGCCATCCTCAAAATCGTTGCTATGTTTGAGTCCATTGTTGCAGGCACTGTGTCAATCCATCTCATTAAGGGTCTCCCTCTTCTTTCCTGACCCTCTACTTTATCAAACATGATGTCTTTCTCCAGTGATGGGTCCCACTTGATGACTGTCCAAAGTAAGCGAGACAAAATCTCTCCATCCTCCCTTCTAAGGAACATTCTCACTGTACTTCCTCTAAGACAGGTTTTTTTGTTCTTCTGGCAGTCTATGGTTTATTCAGTATTCTTTGCCAACGCCACAATTTGAACGTGTCCATTCATCTTCAGTCTTCCTTTTTCATTGTTCAGTTTTTGCATGCATATGTGGTGATTGAAAAGACCACGGCTTGTGCCAGCCGTACCTTAGTCATCAAAATGACATGTTTGCTTTTTAACATTTTAAAGAGGTCTTTTACAACAGATTTTCCCAACGCAATACGTTGTTTGATTTCTTGACTACTGCTTTCATGGGTATTGATTGTGGATCCAGGAAGAATGAAATCCTTGGCAACTTCAATTTCCTCCCCATTCTTCATGATGTTGTTTATTGGTCCAGTTATAAGGAGTTTTGTTCTATTTATCTTCAGATGTAATCCATAGTGAAAGCTGTAGTCTTTGACCTTCATCAGCAAGTGCTTTAAGCTGTCTTCACTTTTGGCAAGCAAGGCTATGTCATCCACATATCTCAGGTTGTTAATGAATCTTTCTTCAGTCCTGATACTGTGCTCTTCTTTATATAGTCTAACTTCTCAGATTATTTGTTCAGAACATAGACTGAATAAGTAAGGTGAAAGAATAAAACCCTGCCACAAACCTTTTCCAATTTTAAGTCATGCACTATCCCCTTGTTCTGCTCAAATGACCGCCTCTTGATCCATGTACAGGTTCCGCATGAGCACAACTATGTGTTCAGGCATTTCCATTTTATGTGGTTCATTAAACCTCTAAATTTATATTAATTTTATCAAAATCCTTACTCCTTGTAAATATTAATGAACTGTTCTTGTTAGGTGCCATCAAGTTGGTTCCAACTCATAGTGACCCTATGCACAACAGAACGAAACACTGCCCAGTCCTGTGCCATCCTCCTCATGATCATTGTTATGCTTGAGCCCACTGTTGCAGCCAGTGTCAATCCATCTTGTTGAGGGTGTCCCTCTTTTTCACTGACCCTCTACTTTACCAAGCATGATGTCCTTCTCCAGGAATTGACCCATCCTGATAACATCTCCAAAGTACGTGAGACGAAGTTTCACCATCCTCACTCCTGAGGAGCATTCTGGCTGTACTTCTTCCAAGGTGGATTTGTTTGTTCTTTTGTCAGTCCATGGTATATTCAATATCCCAAAATTGTATACTTTGAAACAAATCTAAAGATATTCACACACAAGTTTAGCAGTCCTGGGTGTGTGTGAGAGAGAGAGAGAGAGAAAGAGAGAGAATGAGCTTTACTTTACATGAGTAGAAGTATTTCTGAAAAGCACATGTATGTCACATTTTCCTAAATTTAGGTATTTTTTAAATCACTAACAGAGCTCTTGGTTTACAGAAACTGAAAAATAAAGTGTTTGTAAGGCAATTCTAAACTTTATAAGGTCAGATTTTCATATGAAACTTTTTTTTTAAATCAGGATATATCTATATAGTTCTAAAATGTTTAAATTAAAGTCAATACTAGTGATATCATGGCATAGTAAGTTACACACCAGTGATATTTTTCTTCATAAGATGTATCCCATATTACAGTGAACACAAACTAGGTGGCAAACACTGGGCTTTCCAGTGAATAAGGTCCCAGTCCTTCTTTTTGAGACTCCAGAGGTTAGAGGGTGGAACAGACGTGCGAATAACCCAGAACAACGTAATAAGTACTATAATAGAAGTATTTTGAATGAAAAAAAAAATTTAGCCTGCAAGTGACAATAGAGGCATCACAGAACAGATGGTCAGGGTTTTGAAGGAAGAGGAGTTTTAGGCAAAGGAGAAGATGATAAAGCTGGGTGGTATGTAAAAGAAATGGTGAAGCATGTGCTATGGAGTCTGAATGCCTAGTTGGGTTTAGGAAGAGTGAGCATTCTGATGATGCTGTAACTTGGGGGCTTGGAAGGAAGTAGCTGAAGTTGAAAAGTTTGGGGAGAGAGATTGGAGCCATTTAATGACGAACATTATATATTATTCTAGGAAATCTGGGCTTTAGGTGATTTCTAAGCCACAGGAAAATCAGGGAAGGCATTGGGATAGAGGGATGACATGATCGTGAGTCATCCTGACTCTGACCCTGAGTTGCCTTGGGAGAGTTACCTAGCCTCTCTATGTTAGCTTCCTTATTTTTACATGGGGGTGTAATAATAACTTCATAGGTTGTTGTGAGGATTACATGCTTTTCAATATTTAAAACAGTACCTGGCACAAAGAAGGAAGGAGGAAAGAAGGGAGAGTGGGAGAGAGAAAGGAGGGTAGGGAGAGAGGGAGGGAGGGAAGAAGAGAAGAAAACAGGGAGGCAAGGAGGGAGAGAAGGAGGCAAGGAGAAAGGAAACAAGAAAGAGAAGGTGGGCGGAAGGAAGGGAGGGAAGGAAGAAGAAAGGAAACAAGAAGGGAAAGACAAAGTTAGGACGGAAGGGAAAGAGGGAGGGAGAGACAAACAGTCACTGAAAAATAAACCCCGAGCAGATCTAGAGGAGGCCTCTGATGAGGAAGGAATGAAGCAATGGCTGTCACTGTAGCATCTGGAATATTCCAGTTCATCAGCAATGTCATGCCTCCTGAGAATTATCAACTTTCCTTAGGAGTTCAGTTTTTCCTTTTTTGGTCTTATCAGCAGCTCTCGTCCCTGCTTTTCTCCACCATACTTCCCCTCCCCGCCCTTCCCTGGAAGAAAAGAATGTCTGCCTGACCACA